AGTAGAAACAAAGACTCTGAGAAGAAAACCTTGAGAGTTTTACCGGTTCCTGGCTAGCACACTTAGAACCCCTGTACTAAGTAGTGGTGAATGTCTTTTCAGGTGTTGGAAAATTTGTATCAGCGTTGCACAGACAGATTAGAATATCGTACTCGACTTGCACAGTCAGTGTTCAATGTATTACAGCTACTACCACGAGAATATCATCATGTAAGTTGGATTTTGTGGAATTATAATTTCAAGTACGTTGAAAATCCTTGATTTTTCCAGGAGTTTGTGCAACGGATTGACGTGTTCTCGAAGAATCAACGTGTTGCTGCTAGGAACTATGGGATAGAAATCGTGCCACTGATTCTCAAAGGACTAGGTAGTCTATCGAGTTCTTTCACTTCCGTTTAATTTCGAGTTTTATTCCAGTTTGTCTTTCGCAACGACTGGCTGAGTTGAGCAAGAAGTCTTGCATCACGAACAGCAGATTTTAGTAATAATTTTTTAAAACTTATGTTGGAAAAAAGATCTTGCGTAGGTCATAGGGGGCGTTCGAAAGGAACGGGTCCTATTAGTATTGCCTTCGAAGTAAGAGATTGCGTTCGGGTTTCTAGATTTTGTGAATAGTTGTCATTGTCAAGGTGGGAAGAGCATCTTTGCGGAGGACAGTGTTTTTGCTGTTCTTGGGAATTTCGTTGTTCTCGTAGTCCTGGAGGGCCAATTTCTGTGGCTTGTCGACAGCATTGTGCCTGTCATGGAGCATATTGCGGAGTTCGTGGCACAGTTCCAGCAGTAAGGTCGTGTCCATACTTTGCGATGATTCCGGGAACTGAAGCAGAATAGAGTGCGCCACCACGGAAGTATAGATATCGATCTAGCGTTCCGAGAGAATCAGAAAGTGGTGAAGTTGACTTTTCGGGAAAACAAACACCCAAAGTCTTGGGTTGGCTTTGATATCGAAATGTTCGCCAGCTTGCCGATTCTTCAACTTATTCAATTCTTCAATTCCGACTCCCTAGTTCTGTTCCCTGTCTTTCCCTACACTTCTAGAACGTGCCAGCTGGCGTCGATTGATCCGTTGTTTGGCGCACATTCTCCCATTCCAGGTCCATACCTATGCTATCCATGTCGCGTGTTTTCCTTTTCTTTCGTCGCACAGTATGAAGCTGCCCAGCGCAGTAGAACCTTGCTACAAGTAAGCCACCCTTCGCCTGCTTCTTCAGCGGTTGTCTCTGTGGTAGCCAGTGACTTGTGAATGAAATACATGCCCAGTTTTTGTTCTCTGTTAGTTACTGGTAAGCAATTTGTGCGAATATGTATAAGTGATTTACTGATGATGAGGGTACGTTCATACGCTATGGGAAAAGTTGCGGACTCCGCGAAAGGAGTGGTTTGAAAAAAATGTCAAATAGTCGATTCGGGGGACCTAATGGATCGCCGATCAGGAGGAATGTGAAATCTGAAGAATCGACAGTGAAAATAGGTTCAGTAGATTTTCACTCTGTGAAATTAATTCCTCATTTTCTGTGCTTATTGCTAGAGCAGAGTTTCGATCAATACGTATGCATATGTTGTTTCCTCCCAATTCCGCGATCTTTCATGCTCTCGAGGGTATGTGACAAGAGAATCGTAATTCGCCGCGCTGGTGGGCGTCGCGTGCGACGTCGCGCCGCAAATGACGATGGTTCCAGGTAGTAGATGGCGACAACAGGCAATTCAGAACCGAAAATAGTCATGAATGTCTACGATGACGGGGTCTACATGAAGTCCGGTGCTCTAATCGACAGGTTAACACGAGTTAAGAAACCGCGCTCATTGCCGCGCGACGGAGCGGCAAATTACTACTCTCTTGCCCCTCTCCCCTTTGTTAACGCGGGCTGGCATGACTAACCGTATCTGTGCTGTGGAATTATGAAATCGTCGAGTTTGTGGTTGGAAAAGTTAAAGTGTTGCAAGATTTTTTGCTGAATCCAGTAAAATTACGAGTTTGCTAAGTTGGCATTTAGTACGCTGAGGGCCGTTCGTTAGTTCTGTGAATTTAAACTAATTTTCCAGATCTCTCTGGACCTGATCCAGGGCCTATCGTGTACCCTTCTGACAACGACGTCACGCAGCAAGAGGTATAGTGTATTCGTTGAATTCATTCTTTCCATTGTTCTATACTCTAGTTCGCTGTGCATGAAGGGGCGTGTCCGGTACTGTGTCTATGCCACGGTGCCAGGCCCGTACTCTGTCAGTTGTTGAAGCGGTGCGGTGTCACCAGAATGAGTGATACAAACGGCTTGATGCAGCCTTGTTATTTGCTCGCTTTTATAACCGATCGCGAACGGGTTAGGCGCCGTGCCAAACTCGTACTGACACGCCCCTTCGTCCGCAGCGAACTAGATTATGGCTTCCTTTGTACAGGCAGGTAATGATGCGGCATCTTCTTCTGGAACGGATGCGATGGATGTCGATAAAGGTAGCGCAAGCGATGACAACGAAGAAGACGAGTCTGACAGCAACAGTGGGAGCGAATCTGAGACAGCTCCGGATCGAACCAAAGGAAAGGCCAAAGCTGATAAGGACCCTCCGTCAGTTGAGGAGTATGTGATGTCATGTTCCCTATCTTTACTGCAGTATTTGGTGAAACTTGGGTTCCAGTGGCTTGAGTGACTTTCACTTCAGGGATGAGAAACCTGAGCGAGTACCAGTTCTGGACGCATTGTACAGATGTGTTATTCGAAGTTGTCTTGACAAGGCGTATAGTGTTCGTATGCGTGCTTTGTTTCATTTAGCATCGTTACTAGAAGATGACCGGCATCGGGAGCTGCTCTTCCATCATGCAAGGAAAATGGTAAGCCACAGTATCTCCTTGAGAGTAAAGCGCTCCTCAAGTTTTCAAATTGCAGTTTGAAGAATGCCCAAAGGTCTTCATTGGTATAGTTACCGAGAAAGATGAAGAAGATGGAAACAACGAAGCGGAAGAAATCAATGAGAATATGTTCCTGGACGATTCGGAGATAGTCATCGACAACATCATCCTGCACATTATTGTGACCGGAGGCCCGAGAGATTCGGTAACTTTTAGAGAATTCTTGTGATATTTGATGGAACCCATTATTTTTTTTCAGGCCGGTGTTCGTAAATATGCTGTCATTGCGTTGCAAGCTTATTTCCCTTTCATCACAGACGAGGTTGATGCACGGAGTGCAGTTGATTGTCTGAAGGTAGAACTATCTACAGCTTCTTCAATTACCACATATGCACTACATATCTCGGAGATTGAGGGGGCGTCGCAGCGTCGTCCATCCGAACGTGGCGCAGAAAGCGTTCTCGTGGGTTCCCTCGATTTGAGTCACTTGTCATTCTGTCCAGTGCTGGAGAGTGCATGATATAGGTACGAAAAGCGAAAATCAGGGCAATCATGGTTGTGGGATTTAATTCACTCTATACGACCTCCCCCACTTTTTTGCAGAGTCCGTACGACCTCCCCCTTTTGAGAGTCGGTAACGACCCCCCCCCATTCGATGAGGAAGACAGGACGTAGCCCTCTGGCCTTCCTTCATCGAATCGCAGGAATCGAGAATTCGAGCCGTCGAGCGGGGCATATAGTACGCATGAAACAGGAAAATCACCAAAAGTCAACCGCCACTCCCACAACGCCAAAACGTAAATACGACCCCCCTCCCAAAAATGATCAAATACGACCCCCCTCCCTTTACAACGTCCATGAAGCGAGAAAAATCAACTATCAAAATAAATTTTTCTCAGCCCAAATACGACCCCCTCCTGGCGACCAAATACGACCCCCCTATTGGGGATTCCTCAAGATGTGCCCTGAACGAAATTATCCTATCAGGAGCGCAGCCGCGGTCACGTTCAAATAAAGTACGCAGCCACGCCCTGCTGGTCCCAGGGATGTGGACTGTAAATTTGGTTTGTAGGAGTGTTGTTTGGATTCGTCGCTTATGGTTCGAAAGCAGGCTGCCGAAGCCCTTGATTATCTCCTTAGCTCCATTTCTCAATTTAGGTGGGTGTTTCTCGTTAGTGCTGCTATTCAGCCTGCCTCAGCATCTCTTACTCTTGGTTTTTATCAATCTTATAAGTACGCTGACATTATTTACCCTTAACGACCCCTTTTTATGCGGAATCTGTTCCCGGGAAGGAACTTGATACTCTGAAGACGGGCATGACATCCGTTTCTGTGCCAAACGGATGCGATGATCGATTCGAAGGGATCAAATCGTCGGATGTTTTTGTCCTATGCCGAGCGGATCCATTTTTACTTTGTTTTGTTATGATAACTGCTGTTTAACGCCGCAGTACGCGTTCCGAATGTTATCACAAGAATGCTGAGTTGTGGGCAAAAGTCGTGCCCCAGGCGGGAGTCGAACCCGCACCTCACGCTTTCCGGGCGAGTGCGCTATCCGTTACGCCACCAGGGCCGCTTTTACCCTCTCAGCTCAACGGCTTTTATGCCGTAGCCGTACAGCAGTCACACGTTTAATCATGGTGTAATATTTTACTTTGAGATAAATTTCACGAATTTCTAGCCAAGGGTACGTACGTGTGTAGGGGCCCTAATTTTGACAGGAATCCAGAGTTTGGATAGGTGACGTCCACAAGAGCAGATTCCGTCAAATGGGCGCGGAAACCATTACCTGTAATGATTCCTCGTTTTTATTTTTTACAATTATTCCCATCAATTCTGCATTTTTTATCTACGTTTTTTTTCTGTCAGATCGTGTTGCTATATCGCATATCGATATGATGTGATGATATAACATCATAATCGTCACACTTATTTTATCACAGCTTATCTATCATTACGTAACGTATGGTATAATATCATGCCTTTTGGCAAGATTCTCATTTTCGAGTATAATCTTCACTTAAGAGATGTGCTCGAAGAAGGTTGGCTGGCGGCAGTCCTCCCGATGATAAACGACAGGGAACAGAGTGTTCAGCACATGATATCGAAAATTGTCACGGTACGTTTCTTATTTGATCAAGTACGGGACTGGTTAGTAAGGCGTTAATGCAGTAGAATTAATTATTAGGTTGTTCGGAAAGAAATGCGCGTTTGAGTTTAAAAATTTTTTATTATAAAAACGAAATTAAACAAGATTAATTCAAAAGATAATCTCCATTACTATCAATGACTTGTTGCCAACGTTTATGCAAAGAATGGATTCCTCTTTCGAAGAACTCGGCCGGCTGCGACTCAAAGTAGTTGGACACCCAGAAGATGGTGCCAGGTCTGGGCTGTATGGCGGATGAGGCAGGACTTCCCAGCCAATTCCTCAATTTTTTCCAAAGTGATTTTCGCGACATGTGGACGAGCGTTGTCGTGGAGGAGTTTTGTCGACGTCGTTTCGACACCTGACGACGTGGCTGAAAGACGAGAAGAAGTACCTTTTTTCTTAAAAAAAAACAACGTAGACATAAACAAAAATATATCAAAAGATGGACAATAAAAATCTTTTTCTAATAGACGGAACTGTTTCGAAACTTCATAGTATGAGAGAATGGACGAATTCGATGCGCATTTCTTTCCGAACAGCCTAATAGCAATCTTCGACGTCTCACCTGGCTCTTCTTGGCGCTGGCGGCTCTTCATGGTGTTCTCCTTATGTTTTGGAATCTTCCATGTTTTAGCGCTTCTGCATGATCTTTTTTAGTCATCCCTTGTCTCTCACTCAGGACGGTACTGTTTGCTCGTCCGTCGTGGATGTTGTATTTGG